CCAAAAAAAACAAAAAAACAAACAAAAAACAAAAAAAAAAGTAAAAAAAACAAAAAAAAGAATGTGCACATCAGATTCAAACATCAGAGATCGGAACTTCAAGCTTTCAAAATCAAGAGTCAACAACGACAGGCCACCCAAGATCGAGATTTCTCTCCAGAGCCCAGAATAACATATGTTGCATATGCATTTTAGGCATACCTAAGAGCATGACATCCATAACATCACATATAAGCATATCTTTGCAGGTTTTACCCAGAGCCAATTTCAACTTCACAACGAAGGATATTGGACTCCAGACAACGCAAGTTCAACTTCACGACGAAGGGACCACTGGTTGTCAACAAACATTTCTTAATTTCAGAGCCAATTTCAACTTCACAACGAAGGATATTGGACTCCATACAACGCAAGTTCAACTTCACGACGAAGGGACCGCTGGTTGTCAACAAACATTTCTCAATTTCAGAGCCAATTTCAACTTCACAACGAAGGATATTGGACTCCAGACAACGCAAGTTCAACTTCACGACGAAGGGACCACTGGTTGTCAATAAACAATTTCAGAGCCAATTTCAACTTCACAACGAAGGATATTGGACTCCAGACAACGCAAGTTCAACTTCACGACGAAGGGACCGGTGGTTGTCAATAAACAACTTCCCAATTTCAAAGCCAATTTCAGAGCCAATTTCAACTTCACAACGAAAGAAATTGGGCCCCAGACAACACAAGTTCAACTTCACGACGAAGGGACCGCTGGTTGTCAATAAACAATTTCCCAATTCCAACTTCACAAACAGATTGACTCAACTTCACGATGAGAGAGTCATCTGTAACACCACAACACCAAAGTCTTCAGGTCAAGTTTCACCTTCACGACGAAGTATCTTGAGCCAGAAGAAGATTCAGAGACCACTTTCCAAGAGCGTTGAACTCGTTTTCAACCTCACGATGAGGGAATTCGTGCTCAAAATATTCGAGTTTTGACTCAACCTCACGACGAGGATGTCATTTCGTAATTGACAAACTAGTCTTAATATCGGATTTCAACTCTACGACGGAGGGCATTCGATAAGGACGAAATTTGTGTCTTTTAATCTTTGCTCTATTTTCGTTACACGATAATGAGCAAAGAGGGGCAGCTGTAGACACATAATTTCGTCTCCACACTTTTATAATATTTACATATTATATATACATATATATATTAGTATTAATTTTATTTATTGTTTGCATATTGCAAGACCAAAATCAGATTACAAGACCAGTCTGCTGGCCCAACAGTGGACCAAGCCCAGCAACAGTGACCCACGACCCATTGCAAACTAGGGTCTGTTTGGAAACCCTAGATACACACCTCGTTCCAGCGCCACTCCACACCAACCGTCGGATCAAGGGAGGATCCAAGGGCCCAGATTAACCCTAGTTGTTGCTGCCCTATCTCATCCAGCGCCGCTTGGTCAGCTGCACGCCGTTTTTCACGGCCGTTCCTCGCACATTCAATAAACATAAAGGACGTGTGTTAGTAGGATTCCATCACCAACAAATAAGGCAGTGTTTTAGTCTATATAGGACTCAAGGATGTAATCTAAAAATAGGTTTTTTCAGTATAAATAGATGTAATCGAATTCATTATGAGGGGGGATACTACGAATTTGGCAAGAAAGTCACACGCAATATTGAGAGAAATATCAAGCAATTTCGAAGCCTTTTGTAACAATTTCGAAAAGGAAATAAGAGGAAGGTAGCATCTTTTACCTCTGTTCGCTAGTCTCTCACTGTTGCATGTTGAGTGTTGCTTGAGATTTGACTTCAAAACCAAAAAAAAACGTTTTGGCCGATGAACGAAGTGAGGCCTTTATTTTCGAAACCTATTTCCCAGATTTGCGTTTTTTAAGACGATTTTCGAAGATCTACTGGGATTTTTGGGTTGTGGGAAGAGAATGGCTTTTTAAAGAAGCGTGTTTCAGGGTAGACCATCGCCGATGAGCGGCGGCGAGGCGGTGGTCACCATTCTCAGGCGGCTCACGGCCTCTATTCTTGGAAGCTCAAGAACATTACAGAGAAACTGGGAAAGAGGATGGCTCTGGCTTTTGAAATGGATTGAATGAAGGGTTTAGTTTTTTTTAGCATATATACCCGAGTGTTTCAAATAAAATAGGGTAAACTACCCTTTTAGTCCCTCGTATCTTTTAAAGAGTTATTTTCCCCCCCAAATTGAAATTAACCCTTAATATTGCTTTGAATTTTGACCCCTAGCTTATAGTTCTTTCAATTTAATCCTTTTTCTGGATTTTAATTTTAATTATCTTTTTATATTACATTATAATATTTATATATATTTTATATTATTATTAGTTTTTTATTTCACTCTCGTATATATGTATTATTAGTATATTATTATTTTACTTATATGTTATATTATGTATGTATATATATATATATGTATATATTTTGTATTTTATCTTATTATTCCTTTACTTTTTATTATTATATTTATTTTCATTATTTAGTTTTTCTAGTATTATTATATATATTTTTCTCTCTCTCTCATATTTAGCTATTATATATATATGGTATCAATATTATTATATGTTTTTATTAATTTTATTTATTTTACTTTATACGCTATTATTTTACATTTTTTTTATATATACATATGTACATTGTATTTCATTCTTATTATTTTACATCTATATAGATTATTTTATTTCACTTTTATTATGCTTTATTTATTTATTTATTCTTTCCTTTTTTCGTTTTATTGTGTCTTATTTTCTTATTTCTTTATTCTTTCATTTTTTACCTTATCATATGTTGGCATACTTGTCTTCGTTCTTATTTCCTTCATGTTCTATATCTCCATGTCGATTATGTTACTTTTGGTGTATCATTTATTGTTATTTTGTTCTTCATTTCGTTTTCTTTATTTTTTTAATTTATTTTCATCACCTTTTCTAATACACATTTTGACCCTTAAAGGGTTCGCTTTCAAATCAATCAATTTTAAGTAGTCGAGATCGCTATTTTACCTCTTAATTTAAATTTATATTTTTCTTAACTAAAGACAACTGGAAATTACATAGTACCGAAAGGATAGTTCAAGGGTGCTAACCCTTCCTTGACTATAACCGACTCCCGAATCCGACACATCTTTGGTAAGACGCAGATTAGGTAAATTACAAGGTATCCGGTCAACCCATTTATTTTTAAATAAATGATCGGTGGCGACTCTAACCCAAATATTTCAAGTTGAAGCCCAATTCCGGGCCCAATGAAAAGACGGTTGCGACAATAACACATTCTGTAAATGCAATTGTTTGAACTCAGAACCTTTAACATCCCCTTTTAAAATGTATAACACGTTCATTCAAATTAAAAATGTAGAAAAATACGATGCACATACATATTTGCTGTTACCTGAATTTGATTTCAATGTTGAAATTAGTACTTAAAATAAATTTGATGATTTAAATTAATTCAAATAAGTCAATTATTATAAATATTGTATTTGATGAAAAGTCACGTTTGTGTATTAATTTGAAACCAAGCCTAGTTTTGGCACCTAATTCAACTAAAATAACTTCATTTGTCAATTTTAATTTCAAAGCCAAGTTCAGGTATCTAATTAGATATAGGAAAACTTAAAGTACAAAATTGAATTTTGAAGTAAACTTTAGGTATCAAAATGTATATTTTCCCTTTATATACTTTTTGTATTTTATTTGGGCCGAAGCATTGCTGGTAAGATCCGTATGTAGAAATTGGATAGGCCCATATAGTTGACCAAATGGTAACTTTGAGAAGTTAAAGGAACAAATCATAGGTTCCGCAAGTGCAAATATGGAAGATTAATTTAAAGAGAGTTGTGTTTAAACATGTTTTACGGAATCAATTGATTACTAATTCTGATTGATATTATTTATTTATTTATTTATTTTGGTTGCCCTCCCGGTTTCAAGGCTTCATATTGATTAATTTGGACTAACTTGCCTCGCACACCTAGTTTTGGTGGGTGAGTCTCTCAGTAGGAATTTTATGCATACACAATAACTCGAACTCGAGATCTTGTTTATTGCTTGAACCAACATTGTTAGTAATTTGATTGATATTATTATTAGCTTAACATTTAAGATATCGTGTTTAAATATTTTTATTATAATTAAGGGTAAAGTATATAAAATGGTCCCAAGTTATAGGGTGTTGCTTTGTTGAGTTCATCGACTATTAAAATTAATTATTAATCTTGATTGATATTATTATTATTATTATTATTATTTATTTTGGTTTCCCTCCCGGTTCTAAGGCTTCGCCTTGACTAATTTGGACTAATCCGCCTTGCACACATGGTTTTGGTGAGTGAATCTCCGAGTAAAGATTTTCTACATACACAAGGGCTCGAACTCGAGACCATGTTTACCGCTTGAATTAACCCTGTTAGTAATTTGATTGATATTATTATTAGCTTAACATTTAAGATATCATGTTTAAATATTTTTATTATAATTAAGGGTAAAGTATATAAAATGGTCCTCAGTTATAGGGTGTTGCTTTGATGCGTTCATCAACTATTAAAAGTTACAAAATAGTCACCGACTATTCATATATTTCAAACTCATCATTTTTCGTTAAAAAATTTACAGCAATTTGAGTTGAGACGTCGTTAAAGAATCACAAATGATTATCAAATCCTAGTAAACATGTTAACGTCCAACTCAGACGATCATGAATTTTTTAACAAAAAAGAAAGAATTTAAAACATATAAATAGTCGGGTGACCATTTTATAACTTTTGATAGTTGAGAGACTTAACATAACATACTATAATCCGAGGACATTTTATAACTTTAAATACTTGTAGACTCAGCAAAGGCATGCACCATAGTCCGGGACCATTTGTGTACTTTTACCATGTAATTAAACAATAATAATGAAAATCAAATTAAGATTCAATTCACTATTGAATATAAACGATAAAACACAGATCTATATCCCATTGCTGCTGTAAACAAGACAAAGTAAACAAAATTCCGACAACCTTAACCAGCGTCTTCACTTGCATATAATATTTCCCACTTTCCTGGAATGGATATCAATTTCCATAGTACAATTCATTCGAGCAGATTTCTTCCTCTTTATCACCTTCATCATATGAATCTTCCCTTCCAACTTTGAATAACTCGTCAATGGCAGAACTCCCGAGCTAATATCACTCCCCAATTCCCCATCCGTCGTGTTCGATGACAAACTGCTCGACCTCAACTCGACAACAACGTCGACTTTTTTGGTCGACCTAATCCCAGCTCGACCCTTCTTGATCGTGACCTCCCCAACCGATGTGCCCCTGTAAGCAAACGTGACCATGCCAACTTCGTACTTGAAGTCACCAAAATTCGTGTTCTTCACCGTGAATTGTGTATTCATTCGCAGGTCGAACGAAGGGGAAACTTCCGTTCCAATGTTAAAGTCACTGTCCACGAACGATGATGCTTGAACTCGGAACTTCGGGTTTTTTGCACGCATGATCATTAATAAGAAAACCAATATAACTCCTATCTGGAACACGGCAAAGAGTAGTATATACAACAGGCACTTAATTCGGTTTCTTTTCCTTTGGTCATTTGAGTTAGCCGATGCCGATACTTGGTCATTTTGTGAATGGCCATTGCTCGGCGCCAATGGATATGGCGAATCACTGGTCTTTTCCGCCATCGCTTTGCTTTCTGTTAATTACTAATTGAACAGCTGAAAAAAAGTCTACCTAGAAGAAAGAATGAGATGAAGTGTGGGGCTTTTTGATAAGTATTTATAGATAAATGCGATATTTAATATATTTAGAATAATATAATTTTCCATATAATACATTCGATATTGGATAATCATATTAAACCCTCACTATATCCAAATACGAAATAGGTTGAACCAAAAATCTAAGTTTTTTCAACTTTTATTTCCTTTCAAAAGATTTAAATTTGAGATTTAATTTAAAATGTATCAAATTTTTTATCATTCAATTCAATAAATACGATAATTTGAAATATGATACGATAAGTCAGTTCTTCTGGTAAACGATTATGCTTTGTCGACACTTAAACGCGTTAGGCGCACTTGAAGCCTCTAACTTCATTGGCTTATGTTACTAATGGATGTGTACCTTACAAAAGATGATTTATTCTTCGTCATAATAATTACTTGTTAATCTAAATTTTAATTATTATACGTTTACTGGTTTCGTTTTAATAATAGCAAATAGCAAAAGCCAACATCTCTACTAGAATGACGTGTTAATCTAGAAGATGTAATTTGTGAAGGGATACGAGGTCGGAATTGTTGACATTGATTTTATTACTTAATCAAATAATATCTTAACAAATTATTTAAGAAAAATATCTTTTTTTTTATATATATAGATACATCACCTGGGAAATATTTTTGAAAAGGTTTATTTTATAGGACATATTTTTATTGACTAACCCATTTTCAGGTAAAATCTCTAACATATGCATTATTCAAGATAAAAATGAAAAAAAACGAGAGTAATGAGTAAGAAATATTTAAAAGATGCACTCATTTTTATTAAAAAATAATGTGTAATATGTGTCAAATATATGTCTTTGCACAAATTAATTGACTATTGACAACATATGAGTATAAATCTTATCTCCGATCATTCAATGATTATACGAGTGTTTAAAAGATTATTTAAACACTTAAATAAATTCATATACGAATAGCATGATATTCGAGAATCACATGAGTAAATAGTTGATTTCAAGATGTGAAAGGTAAGTTTTGAATTTTATGAAATTCGTGTCAATACAATGAATATTGAGATCCCGTATTGCTAAGGCTCCTATGATTATAACTAAGAACAATAGTATCTGAATAGTATCATTTGCATTCCTTTAGAGAAGGAGAATGCTCATTCTTTTCATTTATGTTTCAGTCAAAATCAATAATATCTCAAATTCAATATTTAATATAACCAAAAACAAGAAGCAAGCATACTACAGAGTCTCTAATAGAAAATCAAAAACAAGATAACACTGCCTTCCTTCAATCTCACTCGCTGCTTGTATATAAACAAGAAAAGTTCTACTAGAGTATACAGGACACATAAGATAGCAGCGCGTCGGGAGTGTAGAAATACTTGAAATGGTTTTTCAATGACGCCTTCCATTTGTTCCATTTTGTCTGACAATGCTCGTTCACACTATCAAATATCTCAGCATAGGGATACCGTAATATAATATAAAAGTTACGTATCAAAATGTATCACAAATAAATTTATTCTCAGCTGGGATGGGCGACGATCGGGGATAATTCTTCAAAAGTAACCGTGCGTAAAAAAAAAGAAGGAAAAACAAACGGATGATGCAAACGACAAAGCTTCTCCTTTGGGATGGCCGAATGTTGGGCAACGGCGAACTGGGAGATGACAAGCTGAAGCGCCAGATGTTATAGCAGTTGGTTTTCCGATAAGTTAAGGTGATCGCCAACGATGACTGATGCTGATAGCCGTTTCCTAACTATAAACAAATTAAATTACTTAAATTAATTATTATTTTAAATAAAAAAATTATAATTAAATTAAAATTCTATTAAAATTATAATTAAATGATTAAATTTTAAATAAATCCTTATCATGTAAAGGCTTAATACCAAAATAAGTGTCCAAACTATACATTTTTTTCCGGATAGGTGCCTACAATATGTTTTGGATCATCCAGGTGTCTAACGTTACAAACGTGACCACTTTAGGTGTCCTAGACGTAACGACTGTTAGTTTTCTCTATTAAGTGACACGTGTCACAATATTATAATTTTGAAATTTATTTTTTTTAAACTCAAAATATTATTATATTAAAAGAAAAAAACTAGTTTCTTTTAAATTACAAAAAAGCCTCAAAATTCCTAAAATCCTAAAGTCCTAACACTAACCCGCCGATGTCGCCCTTTTCGACCACGACCAGCACCATCGACATAGTTCCTTCCATCATCCTAGCTATACGCTGTCATATTTGTCGTCGATTGGTCGTCGAAATCACGTGGGATTGTGATTTTCATCCTAAGGTTCGCAGTGTATAAAACGTCGATTCGTCGTCGATCAGTCACAATTTCATAGGGGTTTTAGTCGTCGGGGGAAGTAAGGTCGGGTGGAGCTTTGTCGATGGCTAAGGGCGGTGGTCGATGTGGGTTTAGGGGTTGAAATGAATGTTTTCAAAGTTTTGGAATTATTTTGAAATTTATGTGTTTTCTTTTTGAAAAAAAAACAATTTTATTTTTTAATTTTATATAAAAAATTTAAAATTATCATATTGTGACACGTGTCACTTAACGGAAAAAATTAACACCGTAGACAGCTTAGACACCTAAAGTGGTAACGTTTGTAATGTTAGGCACTTGAATGGACCAAAAAATACTATAGGCACCTATTCGGAAAAAATGGTATAATTTAAGCACTTGAATGGACCAAAAAATACTATAGGCACCTATTCGGAAAAAATAGTATAATTTAAGCACTTATTTGGGCATTAAGCCTTAGGTAAATGTTAAAATTATAATTTTAATAGAATTATAATTATAAAGATTTATTTAAAATTAATCATTTATTGAAATTTAATTATAATTTTAATAGAATTATAATTAAATAATAATTTTTAAAAATAATAATTAATTTAAATAATTTAATTTGTTTAGAATTAGGATTTTTAAGTTATATAAGTTAAATTATAATTAATGTTAACAAATGATTAGTTTTAAATAAATCTATGTACTTTTAATATTTACATTATAATGATAAACTTACTTGTGATACGTTTCGATACGTTGTTTTAGTGGTACGTTATGTATGCGACGTGCACTGTAGAATTTTCCCTCGACATAGTAAAAATCTTCTTATGAGGATTCCCGAAGTTTTTTAAACATTAGGACAATTTCTTCATCATCTACTAACCGAGTATCGATAATTCCACTCTACGGAGTAACTTCACATCCTTGCTTGTTTTGACAAGATTATTCATGAAAACCACATAATCAACAAAATAAGTTGGTTCCCCAGTTGGAAATAATTGTTCATAAGTCACGAAATTCTGCAATTTACGCATTGTCGAGTACTCAACTTTTAAGGTTGGGATCTTCAATACTTTATCTGATGTAAACATTATATCAAACATACCATGTATCCCTTGGTCCTCCTTTTTCATCTTCTCAACATTGTCAGCAAACAAACTAATTCCTGCATCTTCAAGCTCTGTTGCACACCTTATAGGAACCCATGAAGGTTCGAAATCTAAATTTAAATTAAACTACTTGTATTGTTGTATAACATGGGGTGAAGGAAGATAAGTACCATGTACCAAGTCCAGTAGATGGATGATATTTTTCCTGAGCAAGGGACGGTGAAGAAAGTTAAAGAAAGAAAGAGCCAACATAGCAAACTCTTCGATTTCTGCAGCATCTGGTACTATCATTTAATACAACTTGAAAATCACAAAGAAAGGAAGCTGGTTTTCGAGAAGTAACAAATCATTTTGAATGTCGACTCGATCCTTCACTGCAAAAATACTCTTTAAAACCCTCGGAGCACATTAGCTGAACAATGCAGCATCCATCAAAAATCATTATATCCACAAATTCGGCAGATTCAAAGTCAAAATGAAAAAATACTGGATACCGTCTGCGGGTTTCATATTCTAAGAGTCTCATAGCTGATCGAAATTCGTCGATCTCGCGATTGGTTTCCCCAGCAATCTCCCAAAAGCAAAGCCTTTTGATAACTTCCATCGCACACAAGTGCGGCTTACCATGATGATGGGAACCAATTGCAATCACATGTGGTTCGTATGCTTTTTCATTTAAATTACGTAACAAATCAAAAACTAGGTATACAAAGGATAGACACCCGATTTTGTTCGGGTCTACAAAAATTTAAATATATTATTAATAATACAATAACTAATTTCATTTTTATTTTTGTGAAGGCCCAGATACAAGTCAACACCAAGAGCCCAACTACAACATTGACCCAATCAACCCACCCAAAAGTTGACCCAACAGCTGATCTGGTTTGATACCAGTCCAATTGTAACTGGAGCCTGATCCAGATCCGACCCGGCCCAATTACATTACCTTAGGGTTTTTGAAACCCTAAAACAGAAGAGAAACAGTCGCCACAGTGACTGTTCGGCACCAGCCGCCGCCTCTTGGAGTTTCAGCTTCCCCAGCCACGCGCATAAGCTAACTGTCGAGCCGCCATCGGAGCTGATCGTCGTCGTTGTCATCCACAGTGACAACAATCACAGCAAATCAGTCGGGAAACAGAGAAAAATAAGAAAAAATCAGAGACAAGTACAACAGATATCCCGAGAAATCTGGAGTTGTCAAATCTATCAAGAAGCTATCACCAATCACAGCAGGGGGATAAAAAACGAAAAGAAAGGCAGAGATGAGAACCATTCGGGGAACGAGGGAAAAACAGAGAGAGCAACTAAGAGAAAAAAGATATCCGAAAAATGAGATAAACCGAGAGATCTAAAAACCCACGAAAATCAAAAGAAAAATAACGGCAACAGAGAGAAAGAGAGACATACCGTGGTTCGAAAGCCACTGGAAATCCAAAGGTCGTCGTTCTCCATTTTCTTTTTTCGAAAGGTATGCTTTAGATCTAGTGATCTAGGAAGGTTTTTAGCCCGAGAGGGGTTGGGTTTCGAGTAGAGGGGGTTGAGAGGAATCTTTGGGAGGGTTTGGGTCTCTCCAGCTACCGTGCGCCGCCGCGAGCGCCGTCGAATCGCCTCCGGAGGAGGGCTTCTTCTTCTTCCCAGACGAAAGAAGGTTGAGAGAGTTTTAATATCTTTTTATTTTCTGAAAAAAGAAAGTAAATGGGGAAAATGAAAATTTAAGCCTTGAGTTGGGTTTAAATACCCACATTGAAACGCAGCCGTTTTGGCACTGCCCCTTAAGTGTTTTTGGGCTTGGGAATAATATCCATTTTAGTCCCTCGTATTTTGTAATCTAAGTGTAAAGTCATTAAATAAAGTTATATTTATTTTATTTCGATCTTTAATGTTTTAATATTTGTATTTTGGTCCTGATTCTTGCTTATTTTGTTATTATTATTAATGTTTGACTTTGAACATGAGATTGGTAATTATTTTATTCTTGCCACTGATTTCAGTTGTTTATGTATTTTTTATTGTTCGAATTTAGACACAACATTTGCATATATTTCATTTTAGTCGCTGTTTATATTTGGCTTAATTATTGTGCATAGTCTTTAATATTACTTAGGGTTTATTTTCATTTTTAGTACCTGTATTATTTAATATTTGTAATCTGGTCCTTTTTTGCCTCCCCCATTTAATTTTGAATTGGTAGCCACATTTTATTTTTATTGCATGTTGGTCCCTATGTAAATTTTGTTGATAAACATTAATATTATCTATTAATTAACTATTATTATTTTTTAATTAAGATTGATGTGCTAATTTTTATTTTTCGATGCCCTTTTAGGCCTTTTTATATAAATTTATTTACATCGAAATTACTTTTTTATGCCTTATTAGTTTTCTTTCTTTTTCTTGTTTCCTTATTCTTGTGACTTTATTTCCTTTTAATTAATCTATTATATGCGTTTATATCAATTCCTTTATTTATTCGTTTAATCTTCTGTAATTTGTTACCTTTTGTTTTACTTGTTATTTATTTGGTTAGCTTAATTTTAGTATATGATTTCATACTTGTTTAATTTAATTCTATATTTGACTGTTGACTTTTTCTCTTTTTTTTTATAAATTTAGTTAGTTCTCCATATATTATCTTATAACCTATTTATATTTATATGTGAACATATCATGAAATTACATTTACGTCATATTATATGTTTTTATCTATTGATATTTTAATAGACGTGTATTGTATGTAAAGTATGTATGGTAAGTATTTTAATGTAAGTATTTGTTTTAGGTATCAATATTCATATAGCGTAACTGAATATACAAATTCATTAATTTAATTACATAACGTATATTTTAAATATTTATATATATGTTTGTGTATAGATATTTATATGTTTTATGTAGTAAAGTTAGGTACATATTTTTTAACTTTTTTATTAAATGCTATTTTATTTAATAGATTGTTAAATGTCACTCGCTTGAATATTTTCAAGAATTGTATTTGTAGAACAGGCGTTGAATTAATCTGATATGACGTTCGAATAAAATGAGAGCTTGAAATAAATAGAAGTTATTTTTAGCGCTAACTAATTTGTTTGATTTTAAATAGTGTAATGCATGATAAAGTAATAGCAATTTATTTAGTTGTATGCAAAATGTCAGTTTTAAATTTATATTCGATTCGTGTTTAATCGAAGAGGGAATATTCTTTTCTGATAAGAAATAGTCGAAATATTTTTACCGTCGGAATATTGTTAATCTCGAGATTTTTTTTTAAGTTAAAAGAATTTTCTTTAATTAATTGATTCGAAGTAAATTAATTAACTTTAATAAAGTTATTATATTTTAACTTTATATCTGATTCATAATTTTCAGCAGTTACGACAATGTGTAAGCGATTCAGTATTAATTTTGGGCTTTGTGGGGTGCTAATCATTCTCCACGCGTAACCGACTTCCGCACCCGTTTTAAATGAATCTTTGGTAACGCATATCAATTTTTTTTTGTCTAAAAACGGTTTTTTCTTAAAATTGTTTTTAAAAGATGTTTTTTGGTATTCGACCTACCTAACCTAAATGTCGATGACGACTCCTTTTTTAATTTAATACAAATCAATTCCAAATCATATAATTTTTTCAAATTAAAAGTCATAATCATTTTTTTAAATAATATTTAATTATTTTATTAAAAAAATGGTTATGAAACAGAGGGTTTGCAATAATTGGATTCTCCGGGTAACCTAAGTCATAGAATAAGGAAATGTTATGCAAAGAAACACAAAGTCGTAAACAAAAGACAGATGGATTATTAGGCAACTTACCAATTCCTCAGCAAAAATTGTGACAACCATTTCCTCTGGTTTCTGGTAAAGTTCATGACTACATAATAATTGTGACATAATCAACCACAAAATCACCTAATGTATTAAATATCACAGACATTAAAAAGAGAGTACATAGCTACAAACCTGTAAGATGGTTTGGCTGGTGCTGCCACAATCACGTGTACGCCATTTGTTGTAACCTCTTCCGGTGTCTGCTTCAGTAAATCAACAGTTCTCTCTAAACAAACACAAACTCGTTAGTAAGACAATGGATGTTATCAAGAAGATAATATGATATCTCTGATTGTAAAGCAATTCTTTTGCATAAATGCGACCCTTACTAAAAAGACTGTTCTTTAACACTATATACCTGCAATGTGCTCTTCACATTCTTTAATCAACTTGGAAAATCTTGAATCTCCCGGTGCTAAAGCCGCATCGGCCTCTGACGCAGCCTCGGTAGTTTGATACTGTCACACCCCGATCTATGAGTTAAAATTTCATATGATATTTATAGAAGTGGTCTAATTAAAATTTTGGTTATCAAAGAATTTTGAGAAGATTGAAGACTCTAAGTATAATTTTACCTTTCTTTGAGTTTAGAGACTCTGGAATTCACATGAATTCTATCCATTATTGATTGATGTGAATTTGTTTATTATTATTAATTTTATAATATAGAAAATGGAGACCATAAGTGGGGAGAGTTGTTCTATATTTTATGATTTCAGCAAAATAATGGTTGTGGTTGCATTAAAGTAAGGATAATGCAGCCATGGTTGAAATCATTGCTTTCAGCTTCCACTTTCCTTTTGTATTCACCAAAACCTTGATATTATTTTTAACTCATACCAACCGGAAAGAAAAAAAATCATACGAAATGGCACGCAAGAAGATCAGAGAGTTTGATTTCAGGAGATTGTTGAAAGAGCATTTCAAGAGACTTTCAGGAAAAGATTTGCCAATCAAATCTGCACAAATTACGAAATCAACCGATTTCAATCAGCTAGTGGAGAATGAGCCATGGCTATCGTCACAGAAACTGGTTGTTAAACTTGACACGTTGTTTGGAAAGCGTGGGAAGAATGGTTTGGTTGGCTTAAATCTGGATTTTTCTCAAGTTATTGCTTTTGTGAAGGAGCGTCTTGGCAAAGAGGTGGAAATGGGTGGATGCAATGGACCTGTTACAACATTCATTATTGAACCTTTCATCCCTCATAATGAAGAGTTCTACCTTAACATAGTCTCTAAGCGACTTGGTTGCAGCATTAGCTTTTCAGAGTGTGGAGGGATTGAAATCGAAGAGAACTGGGATAAGCTTTATTGGGCAATCTAGGTGATTCTCAAGCTAGGGCCTCTCCTGACAACACTTCTGCACATGATTCTGAAACGACTTAGGGAGAAGCTTCCCCAAACACATCCTCTTCCTAACCCTTGGGGCAACACTGTTGGTGGTGGTAAGTTTCAGCCTTCTGTTCCCTATTAAAACATATTTTCCTTATAGCCATACTCGGTGGTTCAATGTTCATAGTTTTTATTATTATTTGCACATGGAAATCCTGTTGTAGAGAACAAGGATAGTAGAATCCAAAATGCTACTAGTTGACAATAAATAAATAAATCAAAGAAGTACGATCCTTAAAGTCGATGGTCTAAGTAACTGTGGTTATGTGGATTTGATCAATGTTTGAAATGAAACATCATATCCCTTTTATTCAAAAGTGGGGTGAATGATTTGTTTGAGACTCATCTAATCATAGCTTATTATCCACCTTTGCATGATTTTGAATTACTTTTGAAAATCACGTGGGTTTTGGGAATAGATGATAAAGTGCAAAAGGGGTAAATTACAAGCTGAGTTATCTAAGTTTGATAAAAACTTAACCTTGTCTTTTAGCTTTCGTATTATTATAATTATGGCATAATGATTTAAATAAGATCAATTTAGTCCATTATGTTAGTAATTAAATATTACTGACTCATTAAGTTTTTAATTATGCAAATTGGGTTTCCAAATTATTATTTAAATTCTAATAAGCTAACTTTATGGCGAGGGAAATTATTTGGACATGAATTAGTAATTTTGATGGCCTCGATCATGAGGAAAATATTGGAAGTTGATTTCAAGATCGAGGGCTTTCGAATGGAATTTATATGGTCGATTAGTATGGCATGGAAATCGAAGTAATACATTACTACCTTTTCATGCTTTATTGAACATGTTGATATTGGTAAATGCATGACTGAAAATGTTTGGTCTCATTTGTGTAGTTAATTAATTTCGACACTCGATCTGAATATGGTTAAAATTCGGTAACTGAATATGGTTCAGATGACTAATATAAGAAATTGGAGGACAGTTGGAATTAAATTACAAGTTATGGGATTAAGTAATAAAGGAATCAGCCATGGATATGTAAATTATAATTTATATAATTAAAGGTTAAATGCCAAAGGTATTTGGATGAGAAATTATGAGAAAACTTCGGTTAAGTAAAATTACGAAAAGAATGAAATAGATGATAAGTTTGAATTAAATAATAAGATGGACGGAAGGAAAGTATTGAAATACCCTAGATATGTAAAATGACCAAATTACCCTTAGAATGGAAATGACCCAAGAATATCACCAAGCCAGGAATGAATGGATATCCTCAAGCTTTGAAATGACAGGAATAACATTGAGCACCAAAATGACCAAAATAACCTTATGGCCTAGAATAAGTAAATGTCCTGGATTAATTAAGGAATCCAAATAAACATGGGTATAGTACTACCCTTACAAGTTATGGAACACAACTTAAGTGAGTCGATCAAATCTAATGATATGTCAATACCTGAATGACATAAATATCACTTGAATACGTATTCATCTTCTCAAGTTTAAATCGATGATAATTTTGGAAGTACTCAGCAGCTCAACTCTAGATCGCATTTGGTACTAAGGAGTGGATATTTGTTAGACAAATCAACCACGAATACCAAATTGAACTAAATTGAAGTACAATATGTATCCAAAATTCATAAATGTCTGAATTACTATGGAAAACTTTGAAGTAACCTGGATAGACTTAACTGTTAAATGAACTAAGTAACCTCATTGAATTAGGACTAAATGAGTGACTTGGATAAGTATGGAAACGTTGATGAACTTATCTGATGTACTGTCCCTATTGGTTGTAAACTACGAATCAAGTATGTCGACATTTTCCTGATATTGTTGCAACGTATGAATAAAATAAAGACCATTGAAATATTTGTTCGTCTCCTTGAAATCTATTCAACGATGATTCTGAAGATGATTTATAGACAATAATTTTTTGTATTAAAGAGTAAATACCCTGAAAGGACAATGAATTGACATGTCGACAAGCATCAGTTCTAGGAGTTGTTCGATAATCTGATCAATCGACATAAATTGAATATTCGTTTCTTCCTTATCCGCTCAAATCACATTCTGAAAAACTGATGATTCTGTCAATTAATAAACTCTTCCAATAGTGATTCTAACTTTCGACATTCTATAGGCATACTGAAGATATGTGTTTCTCTGCTCGATAAGATTATTCAGTATCTCTGAATAATATCTATAAACACTAATGTGTTCCCTAATTACATGAGTGTTTTATCTAATTTCTTATTTGAATTCTATTATGATTTCTGATCTGAATTCTGTTATGATTTCTGATCTGAATTCTATTCTGATTTCTTATATGGATTCTATTATGATATATGATCTGAATTTTGTTTTGATTTCTGATATCTACGTTTACTGATGGATAAATGTTTTATTTGGGGTTATTGTTAGAGAAAGTATTTTTACAGGTTCCTCGGCTTTGTGCTCAGTGCCTTATAGGTTGTGTGGGTTAGGTGTATGGTTTTGGGGAACCTACACAAACACATTGTGAAATGATGGGGGTAATGTTATGTTTTTAAAAATATATTTTAAAAAGATCCGTATATTTTCACTAGTTTTACAAGAACACACTAGATAACCTATCATGATCTCTGAACCTAGACATCCGAAAATATTTTCATCTGAACTGAATACTATCTGTTACTACCTGAGATATCAATAGGACCTCAGCTCAGCCTAAAAATCTGTAGATATCTAAACCAATAAGGAAATATATGTTTATTTGTATCTGCACATTCTTCAGCATCATCTAGTAGTTCTGTATTACTGAGCTTTACGAAGCTCACTCGGTTACTCACCTTTTCATGTTAAAAGAATCGTATCAGTTCATCTATCTACATCAGTAAGGGAGTTCTTCCGGCGTTACTTGCAGAGTATGGTACATGTGATTAGGGGGCATGTAATTGTATTTTATTTTATATATATGAGTCTGAAAATCTGTTTTATCTCTGTATACTGATAAATCATTTTATGAGTTTACATATTTTGATAAAATTTTTAAATTTTTTGCTGTTTTTACAGTGGGTCGCTCCGGTGGCTCTAATGTGACACTCCAGATCGGATCGGGTTAACCGAATTGGTCTGAGGGGGTTACAGATACTCCTCAAGTTTCACAAAGGCAGTACTGCATATATACATTTACTTATTATACATATTATAAGCAGAAAATCATGTATTGGACCATATCAAATTATGAACTTAAAGATGGAAAAATAAAAGTAGGCAAGGGAAAATCAACTAACCCTTTACGCAAGTAGGCTACATGGAAGGTATTGGGACCGTCGGCGCACCCCATGACGCAGCGGAAACAAAACTCGACGGTCTCACCAGCGATCCAAGTACGAAAAACTAAAATCGGGAGGAAGAGATGCGAATACTTACAGTGGGTTCCTTGAAAAACATCAAGGACAATAGTGAATACTGGTGGTGTAGATCGATTTGAATCGTAAACCTCCACAAAATCACGTCTCGTCCTCTACTCAATTCACCCGATTGAGAGTAATCTTTGTTTTCTCCAAAACTCTTTTGAGAGAAAAACGGCTGAAGGTTTTGTGTGTGTGTTGTAAAATTGCTGCTAGACCTAACACACCCTTTTATATCCAAGTTACCCTAATCATATTAGGGTTTTCATTATTTCAAATTAATTAAATATATATTTGATTAATTGGAATTTAATAATCCTTTTATGTCCAAGTTACCCAAATCATATTATGGATTTTATTATTTCAAATTAATTAAATCAATATTTAATTAATTGAAATTAAATATTCAGGATTATTAAAACATATATTTAATTAACTCCAAGTATATATTTTAGTAACATACAACAAATTGTACATCTTTGCTCATTTCAATCCTAGGGTGTGACCCTTTAGGTTCTTGTAACATTAGCAGTAATTATTAGAACAATTCTAATAGTACATACAATGAGTGACATCTAGCAATATATCATTGTCACCTAAGTTACAAGAAAATATGATTCGACATATCATCTTGGTGATTAACTCTTTTATGTATTACATCCTTATGTCATTTATATCTAGAATAGGCACAAGTATTGGAATAGTCACACTTGTATAGCCCATCTATTGTTTCTTGATATCTAGAGTAGACTTTAATTAACGAATAGTTTATGATATCTCATATCAACTTATTCGAGCATGGCCATGCGTTTCTAGTCTTTCTCAATCAGGTGGCCTGTGATATATTTCCTATTATGTAGGAAGGACAAATCCTATCTTAATCATACACACCCACTACATATATTGAGATATATTCAATAACAGTCTTTATAAAACAACCAGTTACGGTGCTTGTTTAGCTGTATCAAAACATACAACAATATATGTTGGGATAATATTGATATCAAGTCTGAGGATCATACATATAGTCATCACCATGAGTAATGTTATGATTGTCACATAATAATCCAAGACATATGCTCGTGGTGGGTCAATCCAATACATTGTTCTCTAACAATATAATCATGTATCAATTCTGACATCTCTATGTCAATGACAACTCGTTGTCATCAATCAATAACATGTGTCTTAAGCGTATTATTATTGTCCATGCCCATAATAATACTTGACTAGGGATCTTTTAATAATAACAATTATGTCATTATATGGACTTTATTATCTTCCAGTTTATGTTAAACACACATATATATATATATATAACTAAAAATAATAGCGGTAATGCCTTTATTCAATAAAATCGATAAATAAAAATATTATTACAATCATCATATGATTGGTCTTTAGGCATACTCTAACAATCTCCCACTAGCACTAAGACCAATCACTCACATATATAATACCGAGTGACTCAGTGTGACGATCATGCCTCTGCTATGTAAGAGGCTTCGTCAAGGGATCATCAATGTTGTCATCCGTGTGTACTCTACATATTTTCAC